TTGCTAATTTCGTTGATTGCAAATCTTAGGCACCTGAGGCCAGGCCTCAGCGGCTGTCAGCTTTCACATCCTTAGCACCTGGAGGAGGGTCTAGCCTACAGGAAGGAGGCAGCTGCTGGAGGATTGGAAGGCTGTGAGGCGTTCACACTTGGAAGGGAAGGAGAAAGATACACTTGTCTCTAGGGTGACGGCTTTGGAGGCTTAAGGCCCCAGGAAGAAGGAGGCACAGGTTTGGCAGGGCTAAGTTCACCCTGTTATGGTTCATCTTACCATGGTCTTGGGCTTGGGAAGAGCCTAAAGGCCAGAGACAAAAGGGAAAGGCAGAGCCACACTTCGCCCCCACTTCTGCTCATATCTCTGTTTTCTTTGGAGTGAGTTCAGAACACTGAAAATGGGCTCAGCTGCCCCTGTGTGGATTGGGCAGAGATGCTGGGGGAAAGCCCTCTTTGCTGGCTCTGCCCCTTTCCTCATGCCTCTATCATTTTAGTGGAACCTGAAAAGCCTGGGCACGGCACTTGGCGGCGAGAGGGCCTCATATCCACCTGAAGGCTAGGTCCTCTGAGAAGCCTTCCCTGGTCATACTGTATGGAAACACCCACCTCCCCCACACTCTGGCTCCGCGGTGCTGTAGTCCTCATGCCCTCAGGGATCTTATGCTTGCTTCTCTCCTCAGTGTCTCCTTTCATCAGGGCCAGGGTTTGCTTTGCAGTGTTCTCTCTGGCATCCCAGCCCTTAGCATAGTGCCTGGACACAGCGAGGCTCTGTGAAGTGTGCTGCTGAATGCCTGGATGGAAGAAGCTCTTAGCTTTCTTTTCTTCTTTCCTTTCCTTTCCTTTCCTTTCCTTTCCTTTCCTTTCCTTTCCTTTCCTTTCCTTTCCTTTCCTTTCCTTTCCTTTCCTTTCTTTCTTTCTTTCTTTCTTTCTTTCTTTCTTTCTTTCTTTCTTTCCTTCCTTCCTTCCTTCCTTCCTTCCTTCCTTCCTTCCTTTCCTTCTTTTCTTCTTTCTTTGGAGGAGGTGGAGCCAGAGCTAGGCTGGCCTTGAACTTGTGATTTTCCTTCCTTCACCTCCTGAGAGCTGGGATTACAGATATGTACCACCACTCCTGGATCTTTATAGAGTTTCGTTTGTTTGTTTGTTATTTTTTGTTTTAGAAAAATATGCATGATCTCTGTTCAAATTATATTTTAAACCTGAAGTCAGAAACAAAATGAGGAGGCCTGGGTGGGGACAGAGAAATAGATGTTTCAGTGTAGCCCCTGACCCTCACTATGTTGCTATTTGGTAGGTGATATCCTATTTTTATAGCCAGGTGACTTTGGTCAGAGAGGCGAAGGTGCTGGCTAGGTCAGCGCTGAGCTGGTACTTGAACTGGGTGCCTTGAGCAGCTTGGCCCTCACCTCTCTTGAGCACAGAGCCCCAAGGAGCCCCCTTGGTGGCTCCTGTGACCTAGGGCTTGTCTGGCTAGGCTCAAACTCTACTCTGCTCACACTTGTATATCTTCAGAGCTTGCCTCATTTTTGAGAAGAATGCTTTAGCCGGCCCTGGACTGGGTGGGTGCGGGGCCGGCACAGGTCTGACCCTGCCCGAGTGGTATTATGGTCAGTGTTGTCGACGTGATAGAGGTGAGTCTCTGAGTATGCCTGTCTGGGTCATCTTGATTTTATTGAGGTGCAAAGACCTGCCCACGGTGGGTGGCACCATTCCCTGGCTGGGATCCTGAACTGTGTAAGTGGAGAAGGGGAGCTGAGTGGCAGTCTGCGCGCATCACTCTCACTCTCTGCTATGGATGTGATAGGGCCAGCAGCTTCAAGTTCCTGCTGCTGACTCTCCTGACATCTCCTTCAAGAAGATGGGCTATCTTCTTGAACCGTGAGCCATTGTAAGCCCTTTCTCCTTAGCGGTACTCCTATTAGGTATTTTACCGCAGCAACAGGAACAGTAAGACAGGCAGGCTGCTTGTGATCTTGTAACCACTGGGGCACTCACTACCTCTCTGGAGCCCACCCTGCATGGCCACTGTCCCCTCAAGTCCAGAAGTCTAATGGCAGAGCTGCCTTCAGGGGGAAGTCTCTGGTGTCTCCATTGGTTGAACCCTTTCCCTGCTTTTCACTCTGTCCCATTCAGAGTTCTCTACTTGGGGCTCAGAGTCGAGCCATCTACCAGCTGCCTGGCCTTTGGCCACCCCAGTCTCTGGCTGCCCCAGCTTCGTTGGCTTCACCTTGTTTTACCTCTCTCTGGTCTGCACCATGTCTGCCTCTCAAAGCTGGAACTGGCCTCACTGCCTCCATTACTGCCTTTAGTCTCCTTCCCCTGATGGCCAGCTGCCCTTTCCAGACCAGGCCCCATCTCACTCAGAAAGACACTTGACCCTCTCACCAGACCCACAAGGCCCGAACCCTCCTATGTCTCTGCTATCTTAGGCTGCAGGCGGGACTCTAGCTTAGGCTGACCTTGTTGTGTTGACCAAAGATGGGTGCTGTTCTTGCTCCAAAGCCTTTGCTTAGTGGTTCCCTTCACTAGGTTGTCTCCTCCCGAGAAATCCTCTCACTGTTTCCCCTTCCCTCACTGAGAAAGGATGTCTTGGTCCCTCATCTAGGTGACACCCTTCTCCTGTCTTTCCCCATCACACTCCGTTTTCTGAGGCCATCTCAGGCAGGGCTCTTGCTCATTCCTTCTTGCCTCCACTAGGGCACAGCCTTCCCAAAGGCCCCGTAGTCAGGCACACAGTGGGCGCTTAGTAAATACGTCACAGTGGATGAATGATCCTTTTAGAACCGAAATTTATACTTTGGTACCATCTTTAGGAAACACTTGGGAACACCTTTGTGGAGAACATTCCAGGGAGAGCAGGCTCCCTCGACTCCCCAGGCTGCTTTCTACTTCTGTATGAGATGTACACTTTAGGTTCCTAGTCTTTCCCTAGGTAGCTAGCTCTCAGGGCTAATTCTTTCTCTCTCCCAGCTTCTCAAGGGAGAGGCATAGCTGTGTGAACTAAGGTGGTGGGTTTAACTAACCTGGGCTCTGGACTGACTCAGGCTCTACCTACCTCCAGGTAAGCCCCACCTACCTAAGCAATTCTACTGGAAGTCCCGGCTGCTTGCTTTATCCCTGAAGATATTTCACCATGACTTTCTCCACACCCATTCACCTATCCGGTCACTTTTTTGGTCTGTCAGGAAAGCACGTCACCAGACCCCGTCTCCCTGTCAGGTGCTGTACTGGATGGGGGTGAAGACATGCATGGGGCAGAGACTAGGAAGCTTCTATCTTGCCAAGATATTGGGTGCAAACCAGCAAAATTGCAGTGTGGGGTGATAAAGCATGAGATGGGGATGCAGTCAGGGGGTGAGGGGGGCCCAAGAGGGGCTTTTGAACCAGAAAAGATGTATAAGGGCAAGGTTGCTTCTAGAGAAGTCATCCCTGCCTCCCATTTCTTTCGGCTCCACAGAACGACAGGAGCAGTGACTTCGACCTTCCCCAAACCAAACTGTCTCGCTCAGACAACCCCATTACACAGCTCAGGGCCAGCACACCCTAGGCCGGCTGCTGCAAGCTTTTGGGAATGAACCTTCATGGGAAGTGCCACTAAGAATCCTGTGTCAATTTTTCCTTAACAAGTGACATCCAATAAAAATTAGGCATAGTGGCTCTTGCCTGTAATCCCAGCACTGGGGAGGGGGAAGAAAGGGAATTGGAAGTTTAAGGTCATTCCTGGCTCTATAGTAACTTTAAGGTCATCCTTGGCTCTATGGTAACTTTAAGGTCATTCCTGGCTCTATGGTAAGTTTAAGGTCATCCTTGGCTCTATGGTAACTTTAAGGTTAGCCTGGGATACAGGAGATCCTGGCTTTAAGAAAAGGGGCATTTATTCAAAGGCTTCCAGTATCTGTAGCTAGGATGGCACCACTGTGGCTTGAACAGCTGAGAACATTTCCTAGCTCACCCTTTGCAGAAAATGCCCGTTCATTCGTTATACACACACGCTAGAACCCCTGCTTTGCTCAGTGAACTCAAGTCAGACCTCAGGACCCACGTCACTGACACAGACCTCAGCCTCAGTGCAGGGACAAGATGAGCCAGTGCCCTGGCACACTTCTCTCTTTGCCCTAAGGAAGCAGAGACACAGCATGGCAGAGGGTGTCCACGAGGAATCCTGTATTCCACGAGAGCCATTTATTGAGCAACTATCGTATTCTGGGTACAATACTGAGTGAGACAAACCCCGTCAAGGTGCTTTCTGTCGGGCTGATGAAGTGTTTTGCCCTCACTGTGCTTGTCCAGGTGAGACTCTGGGCCCAGGTGTGTATAGGGCCCAATCCCTATACTCCCACTTCTGTATCCAGGTCTTGTTTCTATCAAACTATCCTGGGATCAGCTGTCTCCGAGGGCCCTCCCCCTCAAGCCTGCTCTTACTGGCACCAGAGACTGTCTCACCCGTCTATTCAGGCTTCTCTACTGCTTAGCACAGGCCCCGGTACATAGCAGGCACCCAATCCATGTTTGTTGTGTTGTCTGATTCCAGATACAGTCACAGGTAATGACAACCAGATGGCCCCGAGGGAATTCTACTTAAGAACAAATCTCAAGGCAATTCAGAAAAGGAAATGATGACACTCATATTTTCCTTGCCCTGATCCCCTTAAAAAACTGCCCAGGCATGGTGGCGCACACCTTTAATTGCAGCACTCAGGAGGCAGAAGCAGACAGATCCCTGAGTTGGAGGCCAGTATGGTCTACAGAGCGAGTTCCAGGACAGTCAGGACTACACAGAGCAACCCCACCTCAGAAAACCAATAAGTTAATAAGTAAACAATAAATAATCTGTAGATTGTGTCCTGCTCTCTTCCTGGCTGCCTCACCAGTGCCGCTTCCCATAGGCTTTTCAGGGAAACTGGACCCCCGGCGACCTGCACGCTGTTGCCTCTGACGCGAGTAGTAACTATTGAGAGAGACAGGGCGAGCCATATAATAAAGTGTCTCCTGCATTGCCTTTTCTTCAAGAGGATCCTGGGTGGTGTAAACTGGGATGCTGTCCGGGAGAGGAAGAGGAGAGGCATCCTGGAGCAGAGGCGGGGACCTCCTGGACTCCGTGAGTAAACCTTTCATCGAGCAGCCTGAGAGCCTTCAGCCTGGCTGTCCCAGACCTCAAGGACCCTCAGCTCCTCTCTGGGAAATCCCTTTTGATAGCTAACAAGGTCTGTGTTGGTTTCTGGGGATGGCTGAGAAATTTCCTCGGGGCTTCAAAAATGCTTTCTCTTGATAATATGTCTCAGGGGGATTTAAGATCACAGTGGCTACACTGGGTTTAACTTTGATTTGACTTGTGGCTGCGGGCGGGGGGGGGGGGGGGGGCGGGGAGAGGATAAATTTTCTCTCTCCATCTCTCTAGTACAAGTGTCCTGTCACTGCCTGCTGGTTTTGTAATATTTGAGAAATGTTCCCTGAATCCCTGTCTGTGCCATTCCCAGTGTTGGAAGAGAATGTCCTTTGTCTGCAGAACTGGGGGATGTTACCCAGCAGACAAGGACCCCCCCCCCATGCCCCTCAGCATGATCAAGAGGGTGACTTCCCGGAGGATCTGAGGGTGACAGCAGTTTCCTACCCTCTGCTGTAACCGGGGTTCTGAGTATGCCTGATTTTGGATTCTCAGAGCAGACAATTGGAGGGAGCCCTCAGCTAGGGAGGTTAAAATGGCGGTGGCACTCACGGAGGAAGTACTCTGCGGTGTCCGCCTCGTAGTCTGCGTCCTCTGGAAAGTGGTCGATTTGCTTGCACAGACCTTTGAAGTTCCCTGCAAGGTAATGCAGAAGGAGCGAGTAAGTGCGTGGTTCGCGTGGCTCAGGACCCGCCTGCCCTTTCTGGACGCTGTGGTTGTCCGAGGGTCACCCCGGCACCTTTGCCTGATAGATGAAGGCACGCTCTGCAGCCTGAGCACAGAGCTGAGGCTCCAACATCAAACCCTGCCTTCTGTCCCCACCTCCCGTCCCTGAGTTCCCTGTCCTGGCTCCTCACTTCAGCTGGAGCCCAGGTTTGATTCTGGGCAGAAGGACTGTGCTTGGGAGCGGGGAGCGGGGGGGGGGGGGGGGGGGGGGGGGGGGGGGGGGGGGGGGGGGGGGGGGGGGGGGGGGGGGGGGGGGGGGGCGGGGATGGGCTCAGCAGCTCAGGGGGGTGGGTGATGATGCTTGTCAGGGAGTCACCCAGTTCTTTGGAAGCTGTGGATTCTTTCCCAAGAAGGCAGACCCCAGACTGATTCAACAGACCACCTCTTAGAAAAGGCCAAGAGGTGGGTCCCATCTGAGCTGCAGGATAGTCCCCTTCCCAGTCTCAGAGTCCTGGCAGTTCTGGGTTGAAGGGCTGGCCCTCTACCACATTCCTTTTGGGACTCAAGGTTTCTCTGTGTAGCCTAGACTGACTTCACATTCACCATGATCCTCCTGTCTTAGCCTTCCAAGTGCTGGACCATAGGCCCGAGCTACCATGCTAGATTTTAGTTTGTGAACTACGGCTCACCCAAGCGACAAGAGACCCATGAGAGTGGTGGTGTCACCCTGTTTCACAGACAGAGAAACTGAAGCTCAAGCGCCCCAGTGCTAAAACAGCAGGCTGAAGTGGGGTGCAAGGACTCAGACTTTGGCCTTGGTCTCTTTTGTTTGGTGAGAACTGGTCCCAGGCAAGTGCCAGCCCAGGGGCCCAGCAGACCGTCAGCACTGTTCCCCCAGAGAGTGAAGGAGTCATGGGAGGAAAGGGCCTGCAGACAGACTGACGGTGGATTCAGCTCGCCATCACCAGAGTGGCAGCTTTGCCTCCGGCATGCGCTGTACATTTCCCACCACTGTGTCCCCAGCAGCAGTGGAGGCAAGGCTGGTACTAGTCCCTGCAGAAAGGATAGTCCCGGTTCAGGCTGCCTGGTCCAGCTCGGCTCTCTTCACCCAGTTTCTGTCTGAGCACACATGTGTGTCCTGAATATTTAGTTTAGTGACTGAGGTGGGAGCAATGGACTGGAACCACCATCAGCTACTGTCTTTCTGCGACAGTTGCTAGATTCACCTAATAAATACAGCCCCAGTAACTCAGCAATTTACAATTTATTTTCTATTATTTATTTATTTCTAAGACAAGGCTTCACTTTATGTATCTTAGGCTCGCTCGGAAGTCACTATTTAGTCCAGGTTGGCCTTTAGCTCATGGCAATCCTTCTGCCTCAGTCTCTCTAATGCTGAGATAGCATGAGCCACCATGCCCAACTTAGCAATTTGCTTGCTTATAGAGTCTGAAGATTGCGCACACACACACACACACACGTATGCACACACACATACGCATGTGCACACACATGCACACAAGACACACATTCGATCATATGCACATAGACACATGCACCATGCATGCATACCCTGCAAACATGTGCACATGCATACACATACCTACATAGATATGTGCACACACAGACATTTGTATGCACAGACATGCATGGACACTCACACACACATACACACATGTAGAACACAGTGCACACACAGACATTTGTATGCACAGACATGCATGGACACACACACACACACATACACACATGTAGAACACACTGGATTTTCTTTCCACTTGACCTCGCTTTGTAGTGTCAAAATGGATCTATAATCTTCTAGGGATTTTGATCTTTTCTTCAGCCCCAGTTTGTTGTCTCCTCTTAACCCTCCTGCATTTGAGGGTGCTAACAAGAGGTCTGTGCCACCCTGATACCTTATTCCCAGTATCCAGGCTCACGCTTTCTCTCCTTTCTCCAGCAGGAAGCGGCAGCTGCTTAGCTGCTCTCTCCTATTCAGTAGCAAACCCCAGCTCTTCTGAAGCACTTTTCAAAGCACTTTCATTTTCTTCCCATTTGATCTGACAAATATTTCATCAGTGCAGCTCCGTGACAGGCGACTGTATGAGGACTAAGCACAGGAGGCTCAGAGTCCCTGAGGCCAAGGCCTCAACAACCTGGGGACAGAGTTGAGTCTGGAGCCCAGGGCTGGAGGTGGAACCTCCTGGTGTCCCATGCCAGGGCCCTACACTTCCTCCTGTGCCACATCTCCACTTGATCTGGTGGCTCCTAGCACAGTGCCAGGCATGGGAGAAGTGTCCGAAGGATGAGTGGAGGCTGTGGGGTGTGAGCAGCCAGTCCTCTCCTCAAGGCCCACGTCTGCATGTCCACTGCCCACCCGAGTCCCAGGGGGAGCTCCAGAGAGCTGGAAGCTCAGACTTGCACTCCACTGCCTCCTTTCTGCCTGGGCCTCTAGAAGGAGCAGCAGGAGCAGTGAGAGCCTCTCCATGGTGCCCTCTTTCCAGGGAGAGCAGGGTCATCACCTCCACCTCTCCTCACTGCCCATGTGCATGCTTCGGTGTCTTTCTCCCCATCTCCACCAGGCAAGCCCTCACTTGTGGGGTCACCGCAGTCACCCCACGTCTACATTTTGTGCCTTCCCTTTCCCAAACTTTGAAAATGCAAATGGCCTCATGCCTTTCCAAGCTGTGCTCCACCCCAGCCTCACGAGAAAAGCTGTGCATCTTTAACATGCCAGGGTCTGCTCTCCATCTCTGACCCCGCCTCCCACCTACTTTCTCCCTCTTGGTACACCTCTGCTTTCTCACCTGCTGTGTCCCTTACTACCCCAGGACCTTTGCACTTGCTTGTCTTGCTTCCTGAGCCCTCAGTGAACCCTTGCGACTTCCTCCTGCATATGCTACAGTGTTTGCCTCTGGCTGGCTACTCTGCTCTGTGTGTGTGTGTGTTAAGGCTTGCATGGGGGCACTAGGGAATGCTCTAGGAGAGAGGAAAGAGATGAAGGAAGACTTGGACGGGACAAGGCCCAGGACACAAAAGTAAGGTGTATGGGGGAGGTTCAGTATACAGTGATGCAGGACAGCACTGAAGGCTCAGCCTGGAATTACCCTCTTCTGGTTCCTTCTAATTTCCTGATGCCAATGACAGCAGGATCCGCTGGAAAGCAGGAGGGGAAAGACTTGGAGATTTGGGGAAGGACTCTTTTCCTTAGGAGCTGGGAGAGGGATGGTCCAGGCTGCCATGCATGCATGTGAGCGGGCCTATGAGCACTGGCTTAAAAGTTGCTTTTGAGGTTCTTTGATCTCTGGCACCATTCAGGGTGCAGGTAGAATACAGTTGGGGGAGCTGCTTTGACCAGGAATTTTTTTTTTTGAGATGAGTTCACTGTGTGTGTGTATGTTTATGGAGCTGAACTCCCAGAGGTACTAGGCAGCCTAGGGGCAAGCTAGATGCTGAAAACCTCATTCCACATCTCTCACACATGTGTGCATGTGTATGTGATTTCATTAGGATCTAGGAAGCCTTAGGTAGATGGGGGTTGGGTAAAGTACTTGTTGGATTCAGGGGAAGAATCTAGAAGGTGAGGCATGGTGGTCAGAGAGTGGGGTGCAATAGGCAGAATGTGGAGAGCTGGGGTGACTAGTAATGCCAAGGTCAAGGTGTCTCAGGGGGAGGAGGGGGCGCCCCTGAAAGTACTTGGCAACAGCAAAGATTGTACAAAGGAATTTGAGACAAGACAATTGCATCCTTTTTAGTTTCCCCACATGCCAAGTGTGTGTTAGGAAACTGCCTACCCCGTGAAAAGTCGATGCACAGACGATACATCAAATTATGCTAATGGGCCCCAAATAATCGGTTGGTTTTTAGAAATTATTGGTGTGATCTTTGGTTGATGAGGCTGCTGCAGACTAAATGATGGCCCTGTCTAGCCACGCGTTGACATGAGAGGCCTCGGCAGATGCTTCCTGGCCTCCTCGTTGGAAGAAGAGAGCTTGGTCACAGTCAGTGTGGCTTCCTTCCTTATCTCTGGTTCTGTGAAACTAGCCCCAGGAGCCACAGTACCGGGAGGCCAGGCCTCAGGCTGGGTGATGGCACTAGAACCATGGGGAGCAGGGGTGTGTGGGGAGGGGAGCACTGCCAGACACTTGCGTGGGGCACTAGGGACTGGAGGGGCTTCGGAGCCTGCAGAACGGAGGTCTAGTGAATGGAATGCAGCCTCTGGCCCATCTTTGGGAGGAAAGGGAGGAAGGATGGTGGCACCTAGCCCCCCCTCCTCTCTGCCTGCCCTATCCTAGAGGTCCCTCTGGCCACCCCCTTCAGTTATTGGAAATTGTTGGCACAGAAGCACAGCAGGATTTCAACATTCAGCCACTAGGAAAGCAAACACCCTCACAGGCCGGGTTCAGGTTCTTGGAAGTGAGGTGGCCAGGGCCAGTCTCTGGAGGGACTGTCCAATGGATTCGGGATCTCCTAGAACAATTACAAGATGGCCCAAGAGGGGAAGACAGCAGGTTAGAGTGAGTGAGGGAGTGAGGAGAGCTAGAGAGAGAGGTAGGGAGTTACGTGAGTGAGTCTCAGAGGCTGGGGAGTTAGGGAGGAGGCTGGGGCATGGCCTGTGGATAGTTAATATCAACGAGGGGCAGAGGAGTGGTACCTCAGGGACTCAAAGAGAACAAGGATGAGAGCCTGGGGAGTTCTGCCTACATTCCTTCAAGTTGGCTTCATCCTTTAGGGCCGGCCAACTGGTTGGTGCCAGCATGGCTGAGGTAGACTTCGCCTGAACTCTGGCCTCTGTGGGCTCCCAGTGCAGGGAGCAAGGCAGAAAATACAGAGTTTGTAGAGGTTGGTGTCTCATGTACCAAGTTAGATGAGTGTGCAAGGCCTGATGGGAGCACAACCCTTCAACTAACATTGCAGCACAAACTGTATACTATGTTCTTTGTAACTTCCTGAGGATGCAGGGATAAAAG